ACCTGGGCAGTAAGGTATCAGAGAATGGCTACCAACTATAGCACTCACCCGCTATTTAGAGTCATAGAGTCATACAACATGGAGACAGACCCTTTGGTCCGACCAGTCAGTGTCAAACATAGTCCCAAACTAAACTAGTCCTACCTGCCTGCTCCTGGCTCATATCCCTCCAGACCTTTCCTAACAATGTACTTAGCTAAGTGTCTTCTAAATGTTGTAACTGTACCCACAGCCACCACTTCCTCAGGAAGTTCATTCCACACGTGAACCACCCTCTGTGTAAAAAAAATTTTCCCCTCAGGTCTTTTTTTAAATCTCTCTCCTCTCACCTTAAAAATATGCCCCCTAGTTTTGAAATCCCCCATCCTAGGGAAAAGACACCTACCATTAAACCTAATTATACCCCTCATGATTTTATAAACCTCTACAATGTCACCTCTCAACCTCCTACACCCCAGTGAAAAACATCCCAGCCTATCCAGCCTTTCTTTATAACTCAAACCTTCCATACCCGGCAACATCCTGGTAAATCTCTTCTGAACCATGTCCAGCTTAATAATATCCTTCCTACAACTGGGTGACCAGAGCTGGACACAGTATTCCAGATATTTGTCCCATTTAAATTAATATTGGGCAGGCTTCATAGTGGACAAGAGAGCCACTGGGCCAGGTCACTGTTCATACAAGCAAATGAAAATCTACCCCAATAAGTTTTGCACAACACCATCAGCGTGCATCATGAAATAATGTCACCTCATCAGTGTGTGCCATAAAGCTTCTTACAGGTTAATAAATAGATGCAACATGAAACGAACGAATACAAACTCTAAAAATTCCCACTCCTTGATATTTTTAAACAATCCCCTCCTCAGCTATGGAACATTCTAAAAGAAATAATGTGGCAAAAATAAGCAACAGGATAAACAGAATAAGATCATGAATGTCTCCGAAAGATGGATCCAAATTTGAGTATTATGCTCAAGCTGCAAAAATTACTACTGAATTTGTTATTTGAGAATTTATAGGACACCTTTGGATATAAATCTCAAGATTTCCTCTGTCTTTACTTATAAGAATATAGAAGTTTTGAGTTTACCTTGCATCATAGACATCCACGGTATATTTTATCAGACATGAATAGGAGGTCAGGTTTTGACTGTAGTAGATGGTGGGAGGTTGATTGAGTTTTTAGCTTCTTGAGACAAGTTGTTATTCCTGTTCAAGCTGAACTCACAATCCCAAGCATGGCTTCTCCTGAACAGTGTTGCTACGTAGCAGCTGAAGTTAGCATGACGTCTACTCTATAATCTTCTCATCTCAACCATATTTCCCCCAACATTTTCCCATTGAAAACTCAAGATTATCTTTGTTGCCTTTCAGTGGAGGAAAAGCAGTTCCCTCCACCCTACTGGCATTTATCTACAGTCACTGACATGTCTGCAGTGATTGAACATCTGTTGACCATTCTGAGACGAAGGGGGAGCGAAGGCTAACCCTCTGAACAATCACAGCAAATTCTTCATCACAAACCGTTCCAAGTCCACAATAGTGCAAAACGCCAATGCAGGAATGCCAAGGATGCTTTGCTTCTGCTGGGGATCAAGGTTCACCTCGAACAGGTAGCAAAATGAGTAGGAAAGACATGGGTCATCCTCTCCTGATTTGTAATTATGTTGTTTTCAACAGAATTGAATGTCAGACAGGAAGGATAATGAGCGGCCCAAGAAAATCTGACCACTTAGCATCCTACCCAAGACATACCCCAACATAGTCCTCTCGCGCTTTCTGCAGATATACTTGGATTCTGGGTATTAGTGGGAGTGAACACTTAGATATTCAGGTGCTCAGTCCTTTGGTAACTAACCTATGACCACTGCTCATAAATCATTAAGTACTGCTCATTTTTATGGAATAAAGGATCAGATCTCACCAAGAAGGTACGGGAAAAAAAAGACAATGAGGGATGTGGAAATGTAATGTTCAGCAGTCCTGAGTTTGGATTGAACGTTGGAGGAAAAATGGAAGCCTCAATTGGACTTTACATAAACGTTTTTTAATGACAGCAACACCCTACCTTATCAAACATTTAACTGACCTCACAATTTCTTCTGGCTCCAGTCCTGGTGCACTTGGAGCTCTCAATGGGACTAACTTTCTCCTATTATCATCTGCAGCTAATCTGCTGGTATGGGTTGGCCACTTAGAATCATAGTGAATCACTACAATGTGGAAGCAGACCATTCAGCCCACACCAACCCTCTGAAAGAGCAACCTACCCAGTCCCACCCCATCCTGTAACCCTGCGTTTCCCATGGCTAACCCACCTAACCTGCACAGCCCTGCACACTACGGGGCAATTTCACATGGCCAATCCACCGAATCTGCACATCTTTGGACTGTGGGCAGAAACCCACGCAGATACGGGGAGAACGCGCAAACTCCACACAGACAGATGCTCAAGGGTGGAATTAAAACCAGGTCTCTGGCACTGTGAGGCAACAGGACTAACCACTGAGCCACCATGCTATGCAGCCCAACTGTTTTGATCCTAGTGACCGCGATGGAGTGAAAATCAGGCAGAATCTACAAAATACAGATGACTTTGTGCGCTTGGGTATGTTTGCATGATGAAAGATTGTCGGATACCCAACGGTATTCTCAATTGCCAGGTAGGCCCTAAACATCCACTCTCACAGCCAGGATTCACTGGACGACAGAGGAAAATATGGACATCACTTGTGAGCCGGTGTGCAACACCGTAACAGCTAGAGGCCACAGCGGCTTGGCAACAGACATTAAACACAGAAAACACAACCCAGAGGCACACCTGATAAACACTTTGTGTGTCACACTTCAGGCAGAACCTGCTTCTCACAGACTGGTCTCTTCAGCTATACAGCTGTACACTGGATGAAGCTACCACATCTCCTAAGGATTTGATCTGCTTCATGTCCATCATCGCACATGGATGGAAGGATGTGGACGACGTACAAGTGGCAGTTTAGCACCCAGGTAGTGAATGTGAAAGATCTGCCAGCATTATAAATAACAAGGGTGCTAAAGACTAAACCTTGGGCCTCTGTATTTAAAACTTCTTTCCCATTTCATAGAAGAAAATCGAGGTTATGGCCTGCCCACTGTCTGTTTCATGCTCTCTACCTTCAATCTGTCATTTGCTGGCAAAGCAATGAACTTCCAGGAAGATTCTCAGGTCCTTTATGAAAGTTTAAATGAAATTTGCAGCACTTTTTTTGGTCCAAAATTAAATATCTCATTCAAACAAAAACTTGTTATCCATTAGGATCCATAGTTTTGACTACTTAAAAAAAAAGTCAGAGGAGTCAAGTCCATTTTCAGTTCATTGATGGCCTTCCAGTGTAATCCCAGGACACATGATTTGAAGCCATGCTGTATAATGCAACAGACACAGAAATGGGGAAAACGCAGAACTCAGCAGGACGCACCTGGAATTATGGCCCTTCAACTCTTTCAAAGCGATGACCGAGTCACTAAATTGATGTGAAAACAACTCTGAAAGTTCACTGATGCAGCTGTGCTAGAGTGCAGCATCTGTGCAAGATGGAAAATCTAATTTCAACAGGAGGGGACAGTGCTTCCTGGCACACAGTCAAAAGGAATCGGATGCACATGCTCACAGTTGCTTCTCAATAAACAATGCTTTGACGCAATGTATACTTTACAAGTTGTACAACATGAGGTTTTATACCTTGACAGCAACAGAGTTTCTCTGAGCTCAGAACTAACAAGAACGATCATAGTCTAAAGGGCACTCGCAAGATGCAAGCCAGAAAGCTTTTGAGATCTGGAAACAACAACAACTTGTATTCATGGAGCACCTTTAACATACTTCAAAATGCTTCCCAGGAGCATTATTGAGCAATATTTGACACTGAGCCATAGCAGGAGATATTAGGACAGATGATCAAAAGCCTGGTATGGCTGCAGCACAGAAGGAGATCATTCAGCCCATTATGGAATGAGAACTCTCTGTAACAGCAACTCAGTCCCATTCCCTGGGTTTTCCCTGCAGCCCTGCAATTTGTTTTTCTCTTCACATAATGATCCAATTTCCTTTTGAAAATGATTCAGTCCCTAGCACACACTCAGGACGTTTATTCAAGATGCCAACCATTCCTTGTGTAAAAATGATTTTCTTTACATTTAAGGAATGTGTTAAAAGGAAGGAGAGGTCCATCAGTGTGGGGTGAGTTTCAACCCAGGCTCCAGCAACTATCACGAACAAGAACAGAAATTCCTGGAGAAACTCAGCAGGTCTGGCAGCATCTGCGGTGAGAAAGCAGAGCGAACATTTCAAGTCCAATGACCTTTTTTCACGTGAGCAGCACCTAGTCGTACCGATTGTGAAGCCCGACAGGTCAGTTCGCCTTTGTGGGGATTTTAAACAAACAGTAAACCTCTTCTCGGAGCTGGATAAATACCCAATCCCTCGCATAGAGGATTTATATGCAAAACTGGCAGGAGGGGCTGTCTTTCATGAAACTAGACATACGCCGTGCAATTGCAGTTAGATGAGGATTCCCCAAAGTAGGCTACAATTAAGGGTTTCTACCAATACATGAGACTGCCATTTGGGGTATCGTTAGCCTGTGCAACTTTTCAGCACAAAGTCTACCCCAGGTCGCCGTTTATCTGGATGATGTGCTAAAAGCAGGGAAGACCAATAAGGAGCACTTAGAGAATTTGGACATAGTCCTCAGATGAGGACCCGTCATACAACTACAGGGGTAGCTCCAGCAGGGTTGCGAATGGGGAGAAGATTCCACACAGGACTAAATCTGATCTTCCTGGACCTGGGGTGGGGGTGGTGGTGGTGCCGGTGGTGGTTAGCTAGCATCAGGAGTGCCAATGCCAGCCACAGGACTGCTCAAAGCGAGAGAGAGTTTACTTCAGAGAACGAAATTTGGTGTAGGAACTACTGGAACGGGCCTACGTGGGTAAGAAGCACGGTCAGCGAGAGGTCAGGTCCTGTGACATATAACATTCGGGTAGGTGCAACGGTCCTGAACAAGCACATAGACCAAACGGAAGGTGCAAACCTGCAAACGGGGCGGGACCAAGCGTGCCCGGCTCCACGACAGCCTTCCCGATTGTCCGATGGGCTCTCCGTCTCGGTCAAGCGTTGAAGATATCTCAGAATTTGAGCTGGACACGGCGGATGTCACAGCCTTGATGTCTCCACCACCTGAAGAAGAGAATGAATTTCTTCCAAGACACTCCGGGTGCGAGAGGCGAGCTCCTGTGCGTTACACATCGCTCATATCAGAAGCAGAGTCAGAGGAACCTGACCCGGTGCTAAAATGCCCCAGGAGGAGCTACAAGAAAAAGAACCAGCCTACGTCCACAGACTCGGGGCGGGGAGAAACATAATGATTATAACAAGGTCAGCCAGGTGGACTTCATAGAATATGAGTTCCCTGATTGGGACTGTTAATCTGATCCAATCAGGGAGCCCTGACTGACAGATATAAACAGGACTGTCACACATGCTGTTCACTCTGAGAACTGGTTTTGACGGAGCTTTGTCAGTGTCAAGGGCTCTCTACATATAAGTAAAGAGTGACTTGGTGATCGGATACCGGCCTCTGTGGAGTTATTTCACCCTCCTAACAGTATGGGCCTCACTACCACCTTCTCCACGACAATCACGGATGAGGAACAAATGCTGGCCTTCATGAGTGACACTCATGTCCCACAAAAATGCTCTATCCGCAAACATGACCTCAAGTTTCCAGCTGCCTGCTACTTCAACACACCACCCTGTTCCCACACCAACATCTTTGTCTCAGGCTTGCTGCAGTGCTCCAGCACAACTTGGCGCAAACTGGAGGAACAGCACCTCTTTTTCAAACCCTGCAGCCTTCCGGACTCAACAATGAGTTCAATAATTTTAGGGCCCACGCACTTTGTCCCATATCCTTACTCTATTTCCCACACTCCAGGCCTTGTCATCACGTGGACTGTTGTAACAAACAACATATTGACAGCCATTAACAGTCCCCATTAGCAGCTATTCATTCTCCCATGCTTACCTGTTTTTCTCTCTGGGCTCCATCTCCACTTATTATTTACTTCTTCCCTTTCTCCCCACACTTTCTCTAGCATATATACCAACCTTTTCCTGGCTACAATCAGTTCTGAAGAAGGGTCACCGGACCCGAAACGTTAACTTTGCTTTTTCTCAGAGGTGCGGCCTGACCTGCTGAGTTTTTCCAGCAATTTCTGGTTTTGTTTGTGACTTCCAGCATCTGCAACTCTTTGGGTTTGTCCCCCCCTGGATTAATAGTCTCATGAAACTAGGCCATCACCTCCCCTTGAGCTTCCTTGAAGTGTCCTATTGGAACAGCAAACAGCTTCTTCTGTACAGGACACGCAGGTTAGTTGTTATGACTTTCCACTGTGCTATGAGGAACTAAGATTGCAGTAGCTGCATTTGTAGACTATCTCGATATGAGTGCTTCAGTCCACTACCATTCAAACACTCTGCCTTACTCTCCAAAAATACATGAGATTTTAGTCATCCCAACACAGCACTGTACCTGTCATACATTAATTATTTTTTCAATGCAAAATAAAACTTCCCTGGAAATTGGAAATAACACCAAATGGTAGGCTCAGATACGGATTATGTCACTCAATGTTGAAGTTTATTTCTGCGTTAGTTTGTGCGTTCCTTTTAAACTCTGCCCATATCCATACATCTTCCTGATGCACTCAAGCACATATACACTGAAATATTAATGCCTCCTTTAGACCAAACGGCTTCCCTTTGTGGGAGTATTGAAAAATTTGGAGAATTGTGACATGACCTGTACTTATTTTTAACCTAATGGCACGGATAGAATCAGAAGTTTGTGATGGAACTGTGCTCCCATATAAACACTAGGCTAGTGTAAGACTCTGCCCAAATGGTAAGGCAGTGGCAAGCAGCCAGTATTGTTATATTGTTAGCAGTTGATTTAGGAGTTATTTACAGATCTGCAGTTCTGGAACTGGTGAGCCATGGAAAGAATTATAAAGTGCTTATTCCATGCTTCAAGAGCAAGGGTTGAAGAGTGGAAGGGGTGGGGATGCTAAAAGCAATCAATTTGTTTTTTTTAACTTCCCCTCTTCAAGTACAATGATCAAACAATTCTCCACATCACTATCCTGCTACACAATGTTAAAATTCTCATCCTTGTTTTCAAATTCTTCCATGGCCTTTCCCCTTCCTAGCTCTGTAATCTCCAGCCCCAAAACATTCCAATTCTGGCCTCTTGAGTCTTTCTGATTATAAAACACTCCACCATCGGCGGCTGTGCGTTCAGCTGCATGGACCCAAAGCTCTAAAATTGCTTCCTTTAACCTCTCCAACTCTCCCTCCTCCTTTAAGACACTGTTTAATACCTGCTGTTTGACCAAGTTTTCTGGTTTCATGTCCTAGAATCTCCGTATATAACTTGGTTTCACATTTTATCTGGTAATGTTACTGCGAAGCACTTTTGGCAGTTCGCTGTTTTAAATGAGCTACATAAATGCAGGTTGTTGTTGTTGCTGTTATGTTAGTGATTCCAATCCTGACCACAAGATGGCAGCTCTAGGCCTGCTGCAACTTGGAAACTTGTGAAACATGTGAATAGCAGCAGGGAGCACCCTTTCCAAAAAGCTCTAAAGTGGTGTCAACATTGCAATAAATCACAAGGGCTGGGAACAACATACATAACTTGTCAAACAAAGAATTTGTTTCCACTGGGCTCCCAACTTTTTAATACCTCCACCTTAAAAATATTCATAATCCCCACCACCTTCTGAGACACAGAGTTCCAAAGTTTTACAACCTTCTGAGAGGAAAGAAATACATCTTCACCTCCGTCCTAAGAATGCAGCCCTTAAGTTCTAAACAGTGCTGCCTAGTTCTGGACTAACCCACAATAGGAAACCACAATCACCTTGTCAAGACAATTCAGGATCTTATACAGATCAATCAAACCACTCCTCACTTGTCCAGACTCCAGTGGAAGCAAGCCCAGTCTGCCCAATCTTGTCACTCTAAATATCAATCTAGAAAACCTACTTTGAACCATCTGTGAACAATTTACTTCTTTTCTTAAGTAAGGAGACCAAAACTACACACAGTTTTTGAGATGTGGTCTCACCAATGCCCTCAAAGTATTGCAAACAGAACCACATGCAATACTTGAAACATGGTCTAACCAAGGTTTAATGCAAATTTTGCATAACGTCCATCCGTTACAATTCTAGAAATAAATCTTAGAGCTTAGTTTGCTTTTTTATGGCCTTGCTGACATAGAAAATAGGTACAGGCCATTCAGCCCTGCACTACCATCCAACATGAGCACACAACTTCAGTATCCCACTCCTATTTTCTCTCCATACAAGGTTCAGGCATTGCTAGGACATGAACTCAGGATCACTTGTTTACTAGGCAGGCACTTTAACCAAATGAGCCCCAGTACCACCACCCCCTATACCACAACTTTTAGTGATCAATGTATTTGTATCCAAGATCCTTTTGTTCCTACCTAGACTTGCACTTTCCAACTAATAAATAATCTCCCTATGTTTCCAAACAAATCTAACACCTTGCATTTGTTTTGAAATTCATTTATCAATTATTTGACCATCTACAAGTTTATGATTATCCTCCTGTATTTTGTTGAAGTTATCCTCAGAATGACTCAGCACTGAGCAGTACAGTTTCCCTCTGGACCAACAGTCTGGTTGGTTTTGACGTATTAAAAAAGTGAGCTCATGTTCAAAATTGAATTATCTCCAGAGAAAAATTCTGAGAAGCTGGGAATGGGGGTGGGTTAGGATATAGGTTTTAAGCCTTTACAGGTTTGTTTTTACGTTCATTCGTCCACTGGGATGTGAGGCATGTAAATCCAAGCATGTTACTTCTTCCCAGTGTTCTGCAGCCTTTCTGTTCATCCAGCTTTATTTATTTCAGATTCCCCTTGAAGACATTCCTTTCCAGAATTCTCTGGAGTGGATTCCTGAAGTAGGGCCAACGAGAGATTTATGGAAAGGGAGGGAGAGTGCAGTCAGCATGGGTCATTGGTCTTTCACTGTTTCCTGGAACTTTTCAGGGCAATGCGTGTAATCTGCACACAATTCTCAGAGTGCACATGCAGTACTCAAAACATGGTCTAACCAAGGTTTAATGCAAATTTTGCATAATATCCCTACTTTACAATTCTAGAAATAAACCTTAGAGCTTGTTTTGCTTTTTTACGGCGTCGGTAACATACAAAATAGGTGCAGGCCATTCAGCCCTGCACTACCATTCAAAACAATCAGTATCCCACTCCTACTTTTGCTCCATATAGGGTACAGGCACCACTGGGATAGGAGCTGAGGATCATTCTGTTTACTAGGCAGGTACTTTAATCAACTGAGCCACAGCACCACCATTCCCTACAATGCACCTATGACAGAACTGGTCACATTAACCCTCCTTGGGCTCCAGGATTTCTTCATAAGTTCCCATCCCGTATGTCTGGCTCTAGGCAGAGTCCAGCAGCTTTTATCTGTGCCTTTGTTAGTTACCCCTAGATCTGATTATTCCAACACCACCCCCATCTATCCTCTGGTAACTTGAGGTAATCCAAAATTCAGCTGCCTGTGTTGTAACTCACATTAAGTCCTGTTCACCTGTGAACCCTGTGCTTACTGTTCTACCCTGGCTGCCAGTCAAGTAATGTCTTCATTTTACAATTGTCATCTTTGTTTCCAAATCCCTCCATGATCCCTCACCCTCTCCCTCCTTCTGTAATCTCCTCCAGGCCTGCAACCCTCCGAGATATCAGCATTCCTCCAATTCTGGCCTCTTGTGCATTCCTAATATTAATCATCCCTACATTTTCAGTTACCTGAGGCCCAATTTCTGGAATTCCCTCCTTACACCTCTCTGCCTCTCTTTATCTCCCTTTCCTCCTTTAAGACACTTCTTTAAACCAATCTCTTTGGTCCTCTAACCTAATATCTCCTTAAAAGGCTTGGTGTCACGTTTTGTTTTATAATGATCTTCTGGAATGTTTTAGGATGTTGCATTATGTTAAAGCTACTACACAAAGTGTTCTTGATGAAGATCGCTCCCTTCAGAAGGTGGAACAATGTAAGCCAGACCATGGTGTGAATTGTCAGTGTGGGGTATGGTCAGCAAGGTGTTGAAAATGACCAGCCTTCTTCTGATCGTTGGCTGAGTGAACCTGACAGCAGTGACAGTGGGCCCAACTT